CTAAAATATAGTCGTTGGTGGCGAGGCTCGAAATGGTGATGCTTAACCGTCGGGTTGGTACTAAGGCTACGCCGCAGCGGATCTTGTCGTCGTAGTAGTAGACTACCCGCGCGCATATATAAGAACATTGGGGCAAACCCGCTAGGAGGGTATCGATTACGCTGTGCAGGGGCAAAGGATTTGGCGTAGGTCCGAATTTGTCCGGGTCGTAGTTGTGTAGGGCGGTTCGGAGAGTATCCCTAGCCGCCCCGCGACTCTCGATGCTGAGGTTACCCTATTTCCTTAGCGATACCCTTCGTATAACCTAATTAGGCAAGGGCAGTTCTCGTCGATAGCTTAGTGTCACCTGGTCGAGCTGCACTCTCTAGGTATCGAGTATATTCCCGGTAAAGATAAGGTAGTCAATAGCGTAGGAGTTTTGCGACTAGACCGGCCCATAGAGATATCTTTTCACACTATCACCTTTACTTAAAGGGACAGTACTATCGACGTAGTTCCAAGTCGCCTAAAAATCCCGGAAGACGGAGCATTTCTTGCCCTCGATATACTCGAACCGTCTTTCGTTGGGTAGCGCGTTAACGCTACGTTTAATGGCTTAACGACCGAGCTGCTCGAGGATATATAAGGTGGTTGGGATTCGCTTATAGAGGGTCTCGATATCTAAGGCGGGGGCGGAGAGATCGATATCTAGAATATTTTTTCGTGATGCTCTGTATAACGCTTAGTTAGATATGGTCTACTCGAGGTCTCTCTGATAACTTATCGTCGTCACTTACTCTTTCTGATAGTTATTGAGCCACCAAACCGCCCCGACCGCGAAAAGCTAAGGTATACTTTAATTGGCGCGATTGTCGTCGTCGAAGTCTTTAGATCCGGGAGCTCGTGGTTAAAGATCTCGTCCAGTGGCTAGGCAGTAATAAGTAGGGCGACAAAAATACCTCGACTAAGTATAAGTCCGAAGGTAAGGGATTGGAGGTCTGGCATACCAGTATGTTAAGGCCACCGTTTTGGCCGCCACATTTGCACATCTGACCGCGCGTCTTTGACTTCCCTAGGCACTCCCACCCTCTCTTTAGATTTCTCTGCTGTGTTCCATAACCTTTCTTATTTTTTGAACCTAGTGACCCTCTTATACCCCGATATAGCCGTTATATCTTTAAATATACCTACCCGCGCCCCTTCTACTATAGCCGACCACCCTTTCTCTTAGCTAAAGAACCTTGTGGACAAAAGGGCCTACTATCACCTAGTCTATATTGACCAAGGAGAAGTGGAAGGAGCATGGAAAGCCCGAGTATCGGTAAAGACCGGTAGTGATGCTGGGAGCCCTGAACTAGCGGCTGAGGCGTGCGCACTAAAGAAGTTACAAGTAAAGAAGCTCGCCGCCGGCGTAGTGATGTAGAAGATCAACGAGCGTAAGTCGTCTATATCCTAGACCACTTAGGGCGATGGATAGGTAGTAATTGACGCGTCGAGCAGCTCTTATCTCTCTCTCCGACACGGATTCTAGATATTCCTCCGATGGTACGGTTAACGTCGTCAACATCGAACCAAAAATAACGAAGAAGCAAAAAAGAGTGCTAGAATAGGCTGGGGCTTATCTAAAGGCGCTTAAGGAATCCGCGCTTAGAGGACGTATTATCCTCTCGATTGACCTCGAAGTGGCAATTTCCACCTCGGGCGACGAGGTCTTGGAGGTTGGTATTGCTTAGGTATATCTATCCTAGCCGTGCACTTCGGAGCGTTGTTATTATCTAGTCGTCGAGGAAAATGCTTATCTGTATAATGCTGGCCGGTATAACTAGGTGGATAATTTTCTGTTTGGTCGTAGCGAACGCATCAAGAAGGAGGACGTTACCGGGCGTATACACCGGATTATGCAGCCCTTGCTGGTATAGGCTAATAATGTCTGCCTCGTGGGCTACACCATTGGCAACGATCTTAAATGGTTATGTAACGTTAACGTCGACGTAGGCGAGATACTGGCCGGAGTCGAAATCTGCGATATCGGTCAAGCCTACTAGGCAATAAGAGGAGAGACCTAGCTAACTGGCTTGGGCCGTATAATGGCTGCGTACTATCTCCTAAACTAGAACGCTTATAATGCGGGCAACGATGTATACTACGGTGTATAGGTATATAGGAAGATGATGGAGACTTTTGAAGCCGTGCAGTGTTTAGCTATAGCGAACGACGGTGCTACGGGCTAAATACTTCGACCTTACCAAGTGTTCGTCGATTATGCGCTCGAGCCTAGATTCTTTATATACGCGTATAGATCTTATTGGTTTCATTAGATTAGAATAATAAAAGGTAAAGCCTATACCGCATTGTGTAGAGTTAGCCTATCAAGTCTAGCTCCCTTTTCCCTTTCCGTGCCTATGTCGATGCCAGTCCGATTGACTGCCTCCACGTATGTCGTTATTTGGAAGAAGTTGTCCTGAAGATAATGACTAAAATCTATGAAAGAGGTCTATATATAAACCCTCAATTGGTGGTTTTGGTCACTATACCGTGGGAGGGATCTACTTGGTAGCCTCGAGTTGATTAGGGTGGTTTCGAGGCTGGAAGGAGGTTGAGGAGACTGCCATATCAATATAATAGGGTGGCAAGTAGCAAGGGGAAGTTTGTCGAGAGGGGGACGAGTGTCGAGGAGTCTACCATATTTATATGATAGGGTAGCAAGTATCAAAATCGACCGTTATAGCAAAGTTGAATAATCTGGTCAATCTCTTGAGAAATGAAGCTGCCGAAGAAGGCACTACGATTATACAATTGACATGAATTTATTAAAGCGCCTCCTGATCTTCTAGCACTTTGGATGGACATTTTGACCTGCTCCCGAATGCGCTGGTATCTCTACTCTAATTTTTGATTTAGTTATCCTTATTAAAGGTTATTAAATCGATGACGCTATCCGTGACGGTCTCGGCCTTCTTTTGATACTTGGGCTGCTTATTGTCTTTAACGGAGATGGACGATGTAACGGAGGTGGATAATGACGACTCGTATTCCGACTCGCTGCCGCTTTTGAGGAGATCGTTCCGAAACTGAGGTTCTTTATCTAGTAAGGTCTTAGTTAGGTTGTATTGTAGGGTTAAGTCGGAGTTGGGAGTTGATGGACTTACCACTTGGCTCGGAGAGGACGGTACACTGAAGAGTATGCATCGCGGTTAAGGCGACCTTGGCTTTCGCGTACTTCTTGCCCCCACTAGTGGCGGTAAACGTCTAGGTTTGTGGGCGGCTGGTGTAATATACAACGGTGATAGTCGCTCGATAATATCCACTGCCGACTTCCTCAAACTAGAATTCTATATTCTATAGATAGCGTTTCTGCCGTAGCTGATTTAATTGTGAGACGGGACAGTCGGTGCTAAATACGAGGTATGGCATGATGGAAAGAATCGATTGGAGAAGAGACCGATATATGGTATGATGGGGGTGGACGGGACTATATCTAATGAAAAAGAAAATAGTCTGGTGGTGGTGGTCTCGACATTGCGGTGTTGACACATCCCAATTCTTTCCGGGCCTTGGCGTAATATATCGATATAATAATCAATCTTCCCCGCCGTGGTCTACTATACTTATATGGTAGGCCACTCGATAGCCTTCTATACTCGACAATCTTCCCTACCTTGATCCACTATACTAATATGGTAGCCCCTCGATATCCTAACCCTCGTTGTCCTTTTCTACGGCTAAGCCGTCTAAAGGGTGGTCCGGCTAGTCCTTCTATAATAGCGATAAGCGGGATATATTGTATCAAAGGGCGAGAAAGGCTCGCTTAGCTATTTGGATCAATACTTGCTAGTGGTAGATTGCCGTATATAGGCTAAATTTTACTTTATTGGATTGTTGGACTGATATACTTAGGGGGGGAGGGGAGGGGAGGGGAATCGAAGATATTACTGGTATATGGCAGATATTGTTTAAGAACGTTTCTGGCTTAATTCATATTGTTTTCTAGATGAAATAACGGGTATACTCTATGGGTATAACTCCATTATCCTATTTCTAAGAGTCATGGTGGCCGAAATCGTAGCTAGACGGCTCCATCTTACGGCTAGGTGAGAAGCTATCACTTTATAGATTTAGCACTAGTCTTCTTGCCGCGACCTTTCTTGCTTGCTTTCATGTATTTGCCTCCACGCTTGCGTTTATTGCCAGCGGTTAGGCTCGATATTAACTTAGTTGAGTAGGGCCTTGACAAGACTTTGCCTTTTACCGTGTCTTACAGTGTTCGACTAAGTGACTTCTTGCTTGGCTACTCGATAGGTGTAGCCTCTAATAAGCGAAAGGTAACCTTCGCCTTCTTCTTCGGCTTCACTTTATTGGCACTGTTATCACTCTCTTCTGCTCTAGATTGCTTATTGTCACTACTGTTGCCCTTATTATCTTTCTCGTCGCTCTTATTATCTTCCTTGTCGCTCTTATTATCTTCCTCGTCGCTCTTATTTATATCTTCGTTGGTGCTGCTGTCGTCTCGCTCGGCGTCCTCTAAGCCTTCTAAATTGTTAGTTATTAGTATAAGGGAAGAGAAGGACGACAGTTCTTATAGCGTGTAATATACTCGTAGACCTTCGTTCGCGCTGCCTGACTATCCTTAGCCCCTTTGATATACTGCTGTGATAATGCGTAGACCTATATCACCGAAGTTAAACGTATGTTATAATGATACTCTTCGATGATTTCCTACCTTACGAATAGACTCCTTGATATCGTTAAGGTTGACCTTCTTTGCCTTCGCTATCGTGTATCGAAAGCAATATTTAATAGACTCACTGTGTCGCGAAACTCTAGATGACCTTTAAATGATGGACGATGACTAGGTGGAATAGGGTTTGTGAAAATTTAGGGTAGGAAGATAGCACCTTTACGGTGCTAAATTTATGCTAAGGCCGCTATTGATTAGGTGACCGAGGAGTGCGCCCTACTATTACGAAGGATCTAAAGGTTAGGTAGAGTGTGGTTGAAGTCTCCAATGAGCATTCTATTCAGTTAATTCTAAGAATCTTATGTACGAGGTCTGGTTCGAGGAGGTAAACGAACTCGATCAGCCACTGCAGTAGCATCCTAACTTTTAAGTCAAGCCTTTTTGGGCTTCTTGGTGGGAGTAGAGTAGATCTCTATATCCTCGTTGGCCTTATCGATGGCTCGTTGTCTGATTTTCTCACCCTTGGTCTTCTTGGTCTTCTTGTTCTTCTTGTTCTTCTTCTTCTTTTCCTTTGCCTTCTCCCGCTTTAAGGCCTTTACCTTCGACTTGATGCTCTTAATACGCTTCTTCTCTCTTTCTAGCTTCTTCTCGGCGGAGGTGATTTTGGTGGTGGTAGAGGCGTCAAACGAGACGTCGTTGGAAGAGACGCGGGAACCTATCTCACTAGTCTCACTGGTCTTACTGGTTCTACTGATGTCACTGGAGCTAGACGATTCCGATTCGTCTTCGTTCGAGTAGGTGTTACTGGTGTCTTCCTCTGGACGACGACGCTTGGTACTTCTAGCTAGGCAAACAATCAGTAAATACTCGAGTCGAATCAGCACTCTCTAATGTACTGTGTGACTTGGGCGTATTCGAGGCACCTTGGGACTTGGTGGGGGTGGAACGGGCGACTTTGGTTTTGGTGGGGGTCTTTAGGCTCTTCATTTGTTGTCAAAATTAGCCAAGAAAATAATATTTCCGAGGGGGCGGGGAGGTTAGGTTTATACGATGGCCTTCGCCTTGGTCTTTGAACTAGACATTTCGTTAGAGTCGCGTTTGTAGATAGTAGAAGGGTCAATGTGTTTAACTATGAGATGAAATGAAGAATAACGATAAGGAATTAATTTCGTTCAACTCTTAGACTTCAAAATTTGGGTAAAATACCTCAGCTGTAGATGGCTTAGCGGTTAAGCATACCGGTATGGCACACTCGAGCCATGTTGCTATCCTAATTTTTTACGATGGCTTGGCGCAATATACCGATATAACACGCCTATTGTTGTTATTGTTATTGACATCCCAATTAATTTTCCTGGATACTCCTACCTTTCCATCTCTCGGCAAGATATCGTAACTCGCTTTAATTCTCTTAATTAATACAATTCTTCTTACGATATTGACGATTGCCTTCTCCCCCTTAATATAGCGGCGACTACACTAAATAGAAATTGGACTTAGTAGGTAGCCAACGAAGATAGGATTATCCCACTAGACTCGCCACTAAAGGCGGAATAAGCAATAATTATTAGTTAGGTAAGATAGATCCGCGCGTCCCACAATAACTCGCATATACGGCCACTAATACTCGTCCTATATAGGTGGTACGATAGATCGACGCGGGTCTATAAGACGTAAGCGACCTCGAGAAAGAAGCCTTCCTTACCGCTGTGGTTTACTTTGCCGACCGGTGCGCCGTGAACCATGAGCTCGAGATCGACCTTAGCGAGGCTTTGGATCGGCCGGACGCGGCGTCGGACGATAAGCTGGATAACGACGGTCGCGAGCTCGGAACCCGCGGGCGTATCGATCCGGCTAGTGACTCGGACGGTGACTCGGATAGTGTAGAGGACGATGAAGAGTAGGCTCGTAGACTGGAACTTCGTAAACTGACCTTGAGTTTTACCCCGGACTATGACGTGGAAACTATGACTGTACGGCGTAACGAGTTTATTAATTTACTCGCGAGAGTGGACGTGTCCTAGTCTGCTGTCTTCCTTGACTAGTAAGGTTGATTGAAGATCTACGCCTCGAGGGTTAGTACGTTTAACGATGAGGATATCCGTCGCATTGCTAACTTTCTCTTTTACGATATGCTGGGGGCCCCTGCGTATACTCGTATAGTGAACCTTACTAAGTGGTGGAACGATATAGTTGATGGTGATGCTGCGCTGGCGGAAAGAGCTAGGCTGGCTAGCCGATAAGTGCGATATCCGAAGGTAGCCCGTGAGCTGTTTGACGGCTGGGCGGCAGCTGAGCAGTCTACGCTACGGACGAATAATTTCTATCGGGCGTTGACGGGCAACCTAGGCCGCGTTCGAGTCCTACAACAGTATCTGAAGCTGGTTAAGTACGGGAAGAGGAACCTAAAGGGTGTTCCCGAAGCCGTATAAGCCGTCGGCGTACCTATGAAGGGTCGGTGGACCTCTCGCATTAAGTAGTACATCTAGATTGTTCTGGGCCTACCAGGTTAGAACTAGCTCAACAACCGGCTGTAAGAGGCGTAAATAGTGAGCTCTTTCTCGTCGCGCTGGGGCGTAGGCGTGGTTGTCCTAATGCCGGTCAACTTTATCTCCTTGTAAGTCTCTCTGTGCCTCGGAGCCTCTACTGAACGGTGCTAATATAACCCTAGCTTCCGACCCTTTGGCGTGGTTAAAGTGAATGTCATCGCGAAGACCTTATAGAAGGTCCTTCGTACGGAGCTACTTATGGAGATGTGCGATAACCTTAATTAGTATATTATTAACGCCGTTAGAAACGGTAGACCCCTTAAGGTCAAGTTTACGACTATATAAGGAGACAACCTATAAAGCCGGATTAAGAACGCTCTGTTCGAGACTGATAGTGACGACGACGCCGAGATAGTGGACGCGGAGAACTAAGAGAAGCTTGAGGATAGTATTAACCGCCGTTGCGGCCAGCTCGTTGGGGTCAGAAGTCTATACGTGTAATCGTTTACCCGTGGTGACCAAGGGGTGAGGAAAGGACTTGGCTTAATTGGAGCTTACCCATTATTATATATTAGAGGTCGATACGAAAGAACTATACCCCTAGCTAGTGTAATATAAACTCTATAAACAATACCCTTAGGCATCAGTATGAAGAACTTAATCGATCGATACGCTTTGTAAGGGTCTACTATATTAGTATGATAGACTAAGTAAAGGAAGATTGTCGATAGGGGAATGTTGTTGAAACATTTAATCCTAGATCTTAACCCTTAAGCATTTAGTATCGAGTATATAGCGATATACACCATTAAGTATACAGCGAGTATATAGCATCAGGCCTATGTAGCGAGCACGTAGCATTAAGTATATAACGAGTATATAGCATTAAGCATACAGCATTAAGTATATAGCATCAAGTATACAGCATTAAGCATACAGCATTAAGCATATAGCATCAAGTATACAGCATTAAGTACGCAGTATACAGCATATAGCACTAAGCACGTAGCATCAAGTATACAGCGAGTATACAGCATTAAGTATATAGTATTAAGCACGCAGTATATAGTATATAGTATTAAGTATACAGCATTAAGTATATAGTATCAAGCATACAGCATTAAGTATACAGTATTAAGTATTTAGCGAGTATATAGTACCAAGGATACAGCGAGTATACAGCATTAAGTATAAAGCGAGCATATAGTATTAAGTATAGAACGAGTATATAGCGTTAAGTATAGAGCGAGTATGTAATATTAAGTATATAGCGAGTATACAGCGTATAGTACTAAGTATATAGTATATAGCACGAAGTATATAGTACGAAGTATATAGCACTATATAGCGAGTATATAGTATTAAGTATACAGCGAGTATACAGTATTAAGTATAGAGCGAGTATATAGTATTAAGCATATAATGAGTATATAGTATTAAGCACTAAGTATATAGTATATAGTACGAAGTATATAGCACTATGTATACAATATTAAGTACGTAGTATCTAGTATACATTATATAGCACTAAGTATAGTATACTTTCAATAATGTATTATATACTATATAGTACGCAGTATATAGTATAAAGTATACAGTATTAAGTATATAGTATACACGTAGCATCGAGTATATAGCACCATATATATAGCGCTAAGTATACAGCACCAAGCACGCAGTATTAAGTATACTTGCTTTTAAGGATATAGTACACTATTTTATCTAAGGCTTGGCATACTAATATAATGGACGTCCCCTTCTCTACGCTAACCCTACGTCTAGTCTTTATTTTGCCCTACTTTATAATCGTCGCGACTCTTCCTCCCGTAAGACCTCGACGTTCGACTCTTTACCTATTTCTCGTCTATCCCTTATATTTCTGATATACTTTGGAGTTCCTTACCTCGGTTCCTAACTATGCCCCTTATTGAAGCCGTTGGTGTAATCTACTAGGTTAATCGTAATCTTTAGGCGTATATATAAAAATATCTATTATCTTTATCGCTAACGAAGCCCGTAGAGCTATACGTGCTGGCGTCTCGGTTTAGGATATAAAGGCGAGTAGAGTAGCACTCGAGAACTTCTGCACGAAAGTCGGCCTTCGCCTAGGCGATCTCCGTGGCTATGGTTATCTCGCCCTCGCTCGAGGAATTAACCCGATACCATCAGAAAAGAATTTCTAGTACTCCGAGGGTACCGTGGCGTCTATCCTTCGCCCTATCATGGCTACGTGGGATTAACTAGATGAAACTATTAACTCGAGTCGAGACAACGAGAAACAGAGGTACCGATATAGTCTAATCTAGTTAGACTTATTGTGTGCTATTGACTATGCCATTTTTGTCGGGCTGATGCTCGATGTTGGAAGGATATAGATCGACCAAGTTAGCCCGTAAGATCTTCTGAAGGAGCCTGTCCCGTCTTTCCTGATGCGTAAGATCGTGTCTCGGTATTGGGGCTAGTTGGACGACACCGCCCGCAGCAAGATGCGCGATTATCTCCGTGACGAGCTGTGTCGTTTCGACCCGGTATCCTTCTATCTACTATCGAAGGGGAATCTCGTGGCCGATGTTATTAATACATGTTTCTACGGGGTCTCGTAGGTAAGCTATATAAGTGTTAGGGTAACTCGATACTATAACGGCGTATATATAGTTAACAACGCCACCGTACCTCGGCGGAATAACTGTATCTATATTGGTTAAGTACCGATCGGTGCTTACGTTTAAGCACGGTTCAGCCCGACGATAGACTAAGTGTCGGGTCGGGCCAAAGATATACTCTACGCCTATAACGAGGGGATATATCTATATTCTATAACGATATAGCTTATAATCCTAGATAGGATGCCTCTATATCTCGTCGTGCACGTCGCTAGGGTCGTGGATAGTCCCTCTACTTGATCCGTCGACCTATACCAAGGTATCACTATCACTTACCTCGACCGCCGCTACTAGCCACGCTTAATTTCATATCGCGCCGTTGGTGCCGTACTGGCCGAGGACATAGCCCTCGCCACCTACTTTCTTATTGTCTAGCACCTAGAAGACGAATACGTTCTCTACGACGGCATGAAAAACAACGGGAGGATCCGAAGGATTTAAGGCTAATGGGATCTAGGGATAGTATCGTGCCGTATCGTTACCATTTTCTTTCAGGTAGAAAGTGCGGTCGGTACTAGGCGTTAAGGATAGTATGCACTATATTGCTCGAGCACCTAAGGGTGCGGCTCTATGAAGATCGTAGGCCGGCCAAGGCTGCCCGCCAGCGCTGCCTAGAGGTCGTCTAAAACAACGCTATATCTTCGTCTATATCTACGTCACTAGCCTCGAGGTAGTCTTACACGACTTCTTCATCTATATCTACGTCTATCTCCACGTTATTAGCCTCGAGGTAGTCTTGTACGACTTCTTTATCTATATCTTCGTTTATCTCTACGTCACTAGTATCGAGGTAGTCTTATACGACTTCTTTATCTATAATATTAATATCCTACGTCTCATTATCCGTCTATTCTACCTCGATAGCCGTAACCTATACATTACTCGCTATACGGACATCGTCGTCGATAATACCTTT